TTTGCTGAAGCTCTTGTAAGTTTAAGCGGCCACAGCAAGAGCGGGCTCAGTCCAGAAGGTTGCAGAAACAAATACATAAACTAAAATTCTAGAGGTTACTGGACGAAATCAGTCAAGGCAGAGGATAGAGTCCTCTTCTTCCCACCCTTTGCCAGTACAGCTTAGAGCTGTTCTTTTCCCTCTGAAATTCTTGGCTCCACCCTCCCCCTTCCCAGGGCCCCGCCCCCTGCCATTGGTCCCACCCCCTTGCCCCTCCCTGAACAGTCTCCTCCTACAAAACGATGGGAGGTATGGTCCCCGCCGCATGTTTCTTCTAAGTCCCTTCCTGTCTTCACCAGCACATCCTCTAAGGGTAGGAGGCCTCTGCCACCAGGTGGGAGGAGACACCTGGGAAGATGTGGTACCCAACCCCATCTGACCTGTACACCATCGATTACCTTATTTTTGAGTGTTTTCATTTTTTATGTTTAATTAGTTTTATTGAATTTCAAATGACTACAGACATAAAGTAAACATGTAACAAGCCAGTAGAGCAGAAAGAGAAGGAGCTGCGTAAATACCAGCAGGCTCAGCACGGAGCTCCACTTAGCACCGCATGTTTGCCGCGTTACGAGCCCTAATGAGTCCTTACAACACCCAGGGGAGTTGCTCCCCATCCTGGCAGGCAGGTGGGGAGACGGGCGCACAGAGGGGAGTATTTCCACCTACAGAAAACATGGGGGACTTTGAGTTTGGATGTACCTGCTGCCCACCCAGCTGTGCTCAGGCCACCAGAACTGGCTGGAAATCTGGCAGGCACACTCATTAGGGTATTGGAAGGGTCTGTGGGACCTCCGCTGGGGTTACATATAAAGCAAAGTGGGAGTTTTTTGCGTCTTTATCATTCTAGTTGAGGGGCAAGAGGCAAGGGCAGGTCGTGAGCTCCAAACCTAAAAATTCTGGAACAGAGACAAATCCTAGACACAACAGTCCTCTCCAAAGTGTTCCCACCAGGAGCAGATGGCAAGAGCATCGCAAATCCTTCCAGCATGTTCCTGGACGTCCCAGAATCACGTGTCCCACATTGACTCAGAAATGTCACCACTGCTTAGGATGTTGGGATACCTCACCTCGCCCCAAGGGGTAAACTGTGGCTAAAGCCAACACTGGTGTGGCCCATCCACGACACATAGCTGGCCCCAGCCTGGGTCACTGCTTCTCAGGGCTGCCAGACTGCGTGGGTGCAGGGGCAGAGCCCCGGGGAGCTGCTAAGACACAGTGCATGGCAGAGCACACAAGCAGGAGACCAGGAGAGGCCCTTCAGGGACACAGCTCAGCACCCTTCATCTCAGCACCCTTCATCTCAGCACCCTAGGAGAGGCCACTGGGAAACCACAGAAGTCAGGGGCAGATGTCACAGGATGAGAAGGGGTTCCAGGGCTCGTATTTGGCTTTAAAACTGACAAAGGGAAGAAACAGCACCAGGACAAGGCTGTGTGCCTGGCAAGTAACGCTGCGACCCAAGAATGGCCCCGGCTGGGACCCTCCGGCCACCTCGATCAAATGCCCCGAGGACCGTCACCGTGTGTGAAGGATGGAGGTGAGCTGCATTAGTTGTGCCATCCACGGCTCACCCATGGCTCGCCCCCAGCTGGCAGCTCCAAGCCTGGCAGCCAGGGTCCACACCGTGAAGCTCCTCTGCAGTCTCCCCTGAAGTTGTTTTTGGCCATGCTTCCAAGTGCCCACAATGCTTACATCAGGCCCAGGATCCCATCATCCCAAACCGATTTTTCACTTTGCCAGTAAACATTGTTATGGTCTCATCTACCCCCCTCACATCTCAGAAGCACTGCCCAGCTCAGGCTGCGGCTGGCACCCAACTATTTACTGTGAGTGGCAGGAACTTGGCCAATCCGCCCAGCTGAACGGTGTCCATGTTGCTGGTGCCCAGAGAACGAGAGGGTGAACCTAGCCCCATCTCCTCTCCCTTCCCCGCTGCCCTGCCTGTGTATAAGTGGGCAGGTGTGTTGATGTGGGATGTGAGAAGGTGAGAGAAAATGAGAAAGGTTAAGACAGGAATCTAGCCAAGCTCCTCGGAAAGTGTTGAAAGGAGCATTAATCCTTCGAAGGAGAAATGGTCGGGTTACTAGAAGGAGAGAAGCTGCAGCACCACCAGCCATTCCTTTCAGAGCCTCTCAGTGGCAGAAGGTGGGCGGTGTGCTGAAAAGGACAGCGCCTAATCCCGTCCTCGGTCCTCACTCTGGCTCCCAGGAACTGGGAGGGGCTCTTGTTAATCAACCTCAGATCTTCTTAGGACCAGAGCCCCAGGGCGCTAATCGCCCCCTGCCTCCCGCCCATCAGTAATCAGTGCTGACTCCCTCCCCATCTAAGCTGGATCATGGTTGCTGGTGGGGTAGAGGTGAGAAGCAGGTCAGCGAGGGGTCCATCACCTGCCCCTAGCCCCGGGCACCTTTTCAAGAAGGCAAGAAACCCAGGAAGTAACGGCTTTAGGAAGAGCCAGCTTAAAACAAAAACAGAGGAGAAGAAAAAATTGCCTTAGAATGTGTACTGCATTCTAACTAGTCCCACTGGGTCAATGCAATAGGGGTGGATTACTGCAGGCAAGATGTGGCTGCCTCAGTAATTCTGTGAGTTTGATAAGAGGTAGCTGGCTGACTCCAGCTCTCAACCCCTTGAAGAGAAAACACACATCATGTTGGCTGGTCCAACTGGCATGTGGCTCAGGGGTCTTGGGGGTCCCTTTGCCTTAAAATTGGGCAGCCCTGTCCTTTTGTGACACTTTGAAGGCTATTCAGAACTGGCTCGAGGTGGGTAGCACAAATAAGGCCATTATTCGTCTTAGGAAAAGCAGGATTTGGTAAATGTGAGGAGATCTGGGATAACCAAGTCACCTCCATCCGCACCCCAAGACGGCAACAAGAATGCAAAATCAGAATTCGCCCTGGAGAATTTTGCATCACCACTTCCTTCCCATCTATTCAGGAATGATTCAAAGTATGAGCAAATATTATGCTTCCCTGCATTTATTTCTGATTTAAAAAAAATCATGTATGCTAATTTATATGTAAATTCAGTATGGCCCTGGGGCTCCTGGCATGCAGCCCGTGGGGCTGTGGATGGTGGAATTTTGGCCATTGTCTCCGGTTTGAAGTTACAGATGGAAGAGACACAGACCTCAGGACAGATGGAAATTATGGAGGTCTTGGGACCTTCCCTGTCCCTTCTTCTGACCCCTCACTCCACCCCTTGCCTAGTTAGTTTCCATTTCTGTGGTTAGCATGATAGAAGCTGTTTCCCTGAGGCTACCTGGCTCTGGACTCAGTTTCCCCGCTGCCAGAGTTGGGGCTCTGACCTCACTGGGTGAGCCCCTGTTCACCCAGTACAAGCAGGGGTTTGCACGCACGCGCGCACACACACACACATGCTGCCACAGCTCCTTGTTACGTAAGACGAGTCAATCAGGGCTGCCGCCACGTGGCCTCCTTCACTCTCACACCCACCACCCGGTGAGGGAGGAGAGACACCCCGAGGCCGGCGCCCCCGAGGCTGGGTGCAGCAGGCAAGGCAAGGAGATCCCGCACAATGGACTTGCTTGCATCCAACTCACTGCTTGCATCCAACTCAGATCCCTCCGGGGCCCCCTTCCTCCCCCTCGAGCCCCAGCCGAAGGTACACACGCATTTGATTCTTCCCAGCCTGGTCCCTCTGCCCACCTTGCGTGGTCACCCCTGCAACTATGGCAAGGGGACAGTCCCCAAAGCCCACCCTCAGAGGGAGGTCAGCGGGACCCGAGGTGGGGACCAGTCCGGACCACGAAAGCCCAGTGCTGCAGTGGGGAAGGGAATCAGGTGGGTGGGACTCCTCAGCCTTCTCCACCCCCTGGGAGTGAACTTTCCTCTGGGGACTCAGCTGCCTGGGCTGAGCTTCCACGCGGGGTCCTCTGGGAGATGGTGCTGGACCACCCGGGGGAAGTTTCTCTGCCCGTCTCAGTCCCTGGGAGTGCAGGGATCTTCAAAAAAGAAAGGCAAGCCAGACCCTCAAAGGACAGGGTGGGTGGGAGCAAGCAGGTGGGCAGGTAATGCGGCTGCTGGGACCTGAAAGCCGGGACAGAGCGCGGGGCCACCCGGTGCAGCGAGCGGACTCAAGGTTGAAGCGGATCCCAAGCCACCCCAGCACCGCAGGGCCACGTCACAGCGCGCACTCACCCCCAGCAAGCCTGGCCCCAACTGCAGCCCCTCAGCTCCGCTTCCCAGAAGAGAAAGAAACCAAACATTAGCATTCGACTCTTCATGCCTCTTTCCGTTCAACTTAGGAGAGCTTTCCGGAATTTCAGAGCCCCGCTCTGATAAGATAAGCCTCTTATCTGCTTGTTACCACGCCCCGCTGCCCCCCTCCACAAACACACCCCAAAACACATGGGAAACTACCCCGCTGCCCACCACTGCTGCGGACCGATCCAGCCCTTCTAGCTGGCTCTGACCACGATGCACAGGTACCTGATTATGCCTAGCCTGCGTTTTCTGTTTGCTCCTTGCAGAAGCTTTGCAAGTTTACTGGCCGATAGATATTTAAAGTTTCCTCTCGTAATTTCTTCCCAGTACCATAAGCAATGCGTTAGCAGCCCCGTCGCCCTCCGAATCCGTGATTCCATGTGTCTCCATCTATCGTGTGTGTGCAAGAATGTACGGAGGTCCAGGGGACCAGCACACAGCCACGTACCGCACGGGAGCCCCAGACACATTTTACTTCTGCACGTACATTCCCCCCCCCGCCCCCCCCGCGCCACACACCCACCCACCGTTCTGGCAGCAGCCAGCCTCAAATCAATATCCTCACAGCCTGGGAGGGAGGATGAAGTCCCAGCCATGCTGCTCGGACGCTCTCTCCCCCACCTGCAAACCAACCGCACAGCAGAGCCGACTCAGAGAGTCTGCGAATCATCAACAGCACACTGTACAATTCCTGGGTCGACTGTAGGCAAATCAATAGCAAGCTCTTACCTTGAAAGAGAAACAGAGCAGCCAGCGCTGTGAAGATTGCCCAAGAGATAGAATTGTGCATTTTTGCCTGGATGGTTTTCATGATTTTTTTTTTTCTTCTTTTTCTTCTTTTTTGTCAGGTTCGGGGTTTTTCTTTCTTTCTTTCTTTCCTGACAGATTGCGTTGCTCTCGAGCTGGTGGAAGGAGATTTAAATCCACTGTTTTGCTGAAGGACACCACAAGAAAGCCAAGGATGGGAGAGAGTGTGACTTCTCAGTAATTATCTCTCCTCATACTCTGGCACTGAGACACCTCGTACAATCTGGCCCTGGACAGCCCTCCTACAAGCTGCAATCATTGGTTCTAATCCAAGGATTGACAGAGCTACAACACACGCGCGTGGGTGCGCGCGGGCGCGCGCGCACACACACACACACACACACACACACTCAGGAATCATTTACTGGGCAAATCAGGCTAGCTGATTAAAGAGACAGGAGCCTGGAGAGATGGTATGATAAATGCCACTTTGCCCCGTCTATATTACTTTCATTTTTTAAACTGACAGTCTCAGAACCCCAAGCATCAAAAAATCCCTTTCCTTCTGGCATTCCCTGGCCTCCTGAACTCAGATTCCCTTTACACTGGAAAAATCCCGCAGCCAGCAACCGCTTACGGGAAATTTTAAAGGGACATTTTCAAGCTTGGTGAAACTTGCAAAGATGAGTCAGATTTCATTTGTTGGTACTTATTTTCCTCTCCGATGAAAATATCATTCAATGACAATTTTTTTTCCCTCTCTCTCTCTCATCTTTCACCTTTTCCAATCAACCTCCTACTTTGTTGCTTTGAAAATAATAAATAACTTTCTATTTTCTTCTCCTGTCACTCCTGTTTCAGAATATCTGTATTACTCCTATATTTCATCCACTAAGTTTATTTCCTGAAGTCATCCATGTGTGTATGATACCATGAAAAGAGACGGGGCTTCTGAGATTTGAGAAGAACTGCAGTCCGAATATGGAGAAGATTCTCCAAAAGGGAACAAGGGGTGAGTTTATTCTACATGCCTCAGTCAATCCACTTTCACTAAGATAAATAATGTAAGTGCTTGTGGTTTATTTAAACTGCAGCAAGATAGACTTAGGTTAGACACACTGAAGGACTTTCTGAGTATAGACTTTGTGTGTGGTTGCAAAATGTCCTCAGAGAGTTGCAGACATGCATCTCCTTGATGGTGGGTAAGAATATAACTCTGACAGAAATAATCTAATGGATGTGATGACTTTTTGAGAGATCTGCTAACTCTAAGGTCCTGAAAACTGATGATCTAATTTGTGGTTTTCTCTTACGGGAAGCAAGTTATGTGATGCAAACAAAAATTCTGGAAAACTTAGCCTGTTCACGGCACCTTCCTTAGCTGATTCTGACACATGCATACCATCATGATGCCTCAACACACACATTTTTGAAGTATTTCTTCCAGAGTTCCACGGTAATTATTATACTTCTTGTAACCCCCATAATAATTTGAATGTACATATCCTTGAACTGCATAGAACAAAAGTACTTGCTGGGTGCACAGGTGAACTGGAAGCAGCAGTGCCATTTTGCACAAGCCTCAGAGGCGTCACTCACCTTGTGTTGTGCATGAAGGAGAGAGGCGCCCCCTGCAGGTGTGCAGCCCAGTGACTTAAGTGGAAGGAGCAGTGGGGTCTGGGGACCTGGATCCCAGTTGCAGCTCCACACAAACCAAGGGACCGTGAGCACGTCGTTTTATTTCTGTGAACCGTGGCCTTTCGTCTGTACAGTTAAAGGGCTGTGTCTCAAGTCTCTTTTTATTTTAAAGGCTTTCTATGCTAACTTCTTTTTTTCTGCCACTGCGTTCTAATTCACACATCCACCAAAATGCCCTTGATGTTCTGATCTCCCAAGGGACAAGCATTTTATCTCTAGACTGGTCTCCTTGTGCAGTGCTCCACAGAGTGACACGTGCAGTTGGATGCTCCGGAGTGGCTTTGGCCACAGTAATAACCGCCCAGCACAGAAGACAGAAGGCACAGTGGATTCCTCTACTGCCACTTCACTGCTCTCCAGAGTGACGAGGAAGACAGCGGGTCACCAGTAAGCCTTTCATCCCTACCTGAAGAGACAGAGACCAACATTTACAAGTGTCCTCACCCGGACCTGCAACAAATCTGTACATTCACCAATTTCTTTTAAGCATCCATAGGCGTGCCCACAGTAATAAACTAATCATTCTAGTTGACATTTATTGAGCATTTGCTACGTGCCAGGCATGAGAGCCAGTGTTTTGCATGCATTTTTCTCTTTAAATTCTCACAACCTACGAAGTGGTACACTTATCATCCCCATTTTACAGATGAGGGCATTGAGGCTCAAGGAAAACTTGTCCACAGCCGGTCAGCAATGGAGCCAGGATGTGATGTGAACCTGAGCATTTGTCTCTCAGACCAACCTCTAAAATACCATCCTATGCTAACTACCATAAGGGACTCAAATAGATATCAGACAGTCTTACGTATAACCCCTTTGCTATTGTTTTCGTTTTGTTTTTTAATTTTTATTGGAGTATACTTGCTTTACAATGTTGTGTTAGTTTCTGCTGTACAGCAAAGTGAATCAGCCATACGTATACATATACCCCCTCTTTTTTGGATTTCCCTCCCATTTAGGTCATCACAGAGCATTGAGTAGAGTTCCCTGTGCTGTACAGTGGGTTCTCATTAGTTATCTATTTTATACATAGTATCAGTAGCATATACCTGTCAATCCCAATCTCCCAGTTCATCCCACCTCCCCGCTTTCCCCCTTGGTGTCCATACATTTGTTCTCTATGTCTCTGTCTCTATTTCTGCTTTGTAAATGAGATCGTCTATACCAATATTTCAGATTCCACATATATGCATTAATATACGATATTTATTTTTCTCTTTCTGACTTACTCACTCTGTATGACAGACTCTAGGTCCATCCACATCTCTACAAATGACCCAATTTCATTCCTTTTTATGGCTGAGTAATATTCCATTGTATATACACATCTTCTTTATACATCCCTTTGCTATTAATAGCCTATGTTAATAGCCTAGTTATTAAAAATTATATGAAACAACACATACATCCATAGAGAGCATACAGAAAACCCATGCCTTACGTTTAGTAATAACTGAGTTGCAAATGGTTGGTGCAGGTAATTAGTAATTTTATCTGAACGCAAGGAAGTGGTAGATGGGCATTTTCTACGATAGTTTTAAAAAGTGCTCTGGAGATGGTGAGAGTCATGCTATACCTTGAAAGTGAGGTAGAGACCAGATCTAAAGCAGAGGGAAGAATGCACAGTCAAGCGATACCATAAATCAAAAATGGAGGATGGAAATACACCACCTAACTTTGGGGCTCTTGAAAGCTGTTTGAGAGCCCTGACCTTGCCCTGCTATGTTGCAATAAAATTTTTAAAAGATTTAAAAAAATGAACCCTGGCACAAATTCTGATCCATCTTAGTTATTACCCTCTACGCACAGATAATGTAACCATGCCTGACACACACGGGCACACTCAACAGACACTCGTCATGGTCAGCACGGCTTGTTGACCGCGCGCACAGGCTGGGCTGCATCCAGCTGGTTCAGATCCCTGGGACCTCGGGACCTTGGCTGAGTCATCTCAACTCCACGTCTGAAATGGGGATACTAGCTATAACTCATGCCCACCATCACCATACATCGTAACCATCAGCTAGTTTTCATTTGTTTTACCGTTTTGGTCAAATGGAGACTGAAGCGGTCCGCTACGCGTCCTAGGGAGGAGCTCTCAGCGCCTGTGAACCAAACTCCTGGGGAGCTTCATTCCAGAATCCCACTTCCTGCGTTCACCAAGGTGAAATCTCTCCTTAGGCACGGTCAAGCCAAAAGTCTAATTTGGACTCTGAGTACTGCTCAGTGCTAAGCTATCTGGAGAGCTATATCTCTTTCAATGCTGGAATCTATCATGGAGTAAAATTCTCCAGCGGCCTACATGTTTCACAGAAGCACACAGTGGAGAAGACATCTTTTCCTCTCCTCTGATGTGGGTTGGACACAGGGGCACCCACACAGGCCTGTTGGATATTCAAAAGATCATTGATATAGTTACAGAGGAGAAAGCGGGTCCACCCAGGGGTGTGCTCAACCAGGCCCGTCCCTTACCTAATGGATGGATCACATCGAAGCAGTCTGCATTTTTCCTTTCCTTTTTCCATTTTAATCTCAGTCTTTCAGGCCTCAGGGCTGGGAATCTTTTCTTCTGCAATTGCCCCAAACAGCTGGTGTCTGGGTCCTTCCATATGGGGTGGCCTGGGCCGTGCAGGGATTCTGTGACTCTGGAGGCCCCGACTTGGGGGGAGCTCTCATTGGAGGGCACCCTTGGAAATCACAGCTCCTCACTCAACAATCAGGGCTCCTTCCACTGAGCTCGGAGGCTCAAGTACTTCTCATCAGGTGTCTGCAGGATGAGATTTGCCTCTTGGATTAGCCAGATGCATGATATGCACCATTTACTTCCCAGTTCAAGGGTCAGAGGAGGGTGAATGGTCCTAGGACAAAATTAACGTCAGGAAAGGGGCCTCCTGTCCTAGGCAGAATGGTATTTTCTCACCATCCACACTCCTTGAAGTTAAGAAAAATTTACTGCAGAAGTGATTTTTCTGTTTGCAGATTAGAAATGAGGAAGAGGAATAAGAAATAAGGAATAAGGAAGGGGAAACAGATGAGGTCTTTAATTTCTGAGGAGAGGCAGCCAGGATGGCATTTTGCGAACCGTTCATCATCCGGGATCTGAAGCTTCTGCACTTCAGCTTCTGAGCTGAAGGGCAAGTGGGGATTGATTCTCTGTTAACTGGCCCATGCACACCTGGCGCCTCACTGAACCGGACGGCAAGCCCAGACAGCAAACCCTGGAAGGTCACAGTGGGCCTGGCTGCCCCGCAGTCCAAAGGCCAGCTGAACCTGAGCACAGCCCTCCTGCCTGCGAGGAGGGTGACAGCCACACACACGTGGTGGGCCTGGTCCAAGGCTGGAGATGGAGGCCCACAAGGAGGAGGAGTGTGTGTGCTGGGGGTAGGCGGTGGGCAGCGGGTTTTATTCCTCGCAGCTGTTATGGAAAGGACCACGGGGGCTTCAACCTAAAGCGCAGCCCTGAAATAATGTTCAGGACTTAACAAATGCCACTGCTCCACTCTGCCTCTGCCCGCCTGGCCGAGGCTGGGTGGTGGTGAGCCCGCCTCCGGGGCAGGGGGGTCCGCCTGCCCTCCCACACCTGGGGTGGAGCAGGGGGCCCAGCTCTGACTTGCAGTGTCCCTTCTGGAGGGAGAAAGCCATGCTGGAGGAGGAAGGCGGTCCCCACATTTTCAAGGGGTCTCCCTGGAAAGCCATCTTGAATGTGGCTCCCGCGTTATACGGTCACTTTTGATGTGAACACATGTGATGCGGCCAGGGTACCAATAATGCTGGAATTCTGTGGCGTCTATTTTGAGAATTCTACTTAAAGCCGATTCCCTGATTTATTGATAATTTGCCTAAGCTGATATTACAATGAAAATCGAACCCTTAGCAGCACAGTGATTAAGGACACAGAGACTTAAATCCACGTTCCTACAAGCGGAACACGGTCCGTGCTTTCTAACTGGAATTATAGGCACAAGTCATCTCGCCTGGGTTTCTACGAGTCATCATCATCATCTCAAAAAGAAGCCATACGGGGCTTCCCTGGTGGCGCAGTGGTTGAGAGTCCGCCTGCCGATGCGGGGGACTCGGGTTCGTGCCCCGGTCCGGGAGGATCCCACACGCCGCGGAGCGGCTGAGCCCGTGAGCCATGGCCGCTGGGCCCGTGAGCCATGGCCGCTGGGCCTGCGCTTCCGGAGCCTGTGTTCCGCAACCAGAGAGGCCACAGCAGTGAGAGGCCCGCGTACAGAAAAAAAAAAAAAAAGTCATACAGCACAGTAATATAACAGAAAAAATTTAACATTTAAAATCAGAAGACCTGGATTTGAGTCTAATTCCATTTATCAGCTTCAATTCTGCGATCCTCAATTTTCTCATCTCATCTCATCTCCGCCCATCTTGTACTTAAAGTGGAAATAATAATATCTACTTCACAGAGTCGATGTGAATTAACCAAAATGAAGACTCTGAAAGCCCTGATACGACGTCTAACACACACATTGGCTCCAATGTCTTTATAATGAGCTTGCTTGAAAAAACCAATCATAGTGCTGGGTAATATTCAGCATGAACTTGACAGAGAGTCACTGCCCCCAGATGCTTGTTGCCAGCAGTTTTCTCTGGGCTCCGTGGGAGGTGGGGGCTGTTGGCACACTGTCCTGCTCGCCCCCAGGAATCAACTCCATGTGGCTTCACTGGGCTGCTACCCTCTCGGTGCGAACGTGGGCAAGTGGCCCAGGGCTGACCAATCAGTTTCTTCCCTGAGAGTTTTCTAGGTGCTGTTTGGAAACAGACGCTGCTCCGGAGGGTAAATTTCCTAACAGATGGAGAAAGTCTGCAAGGAAAAAAGTCAAGCAAAACTAGGAGGAGAACCAAGAGGAGAAAGCATCACTGAAAGTAGGACAAGTCAAGCCTGAAGGCAGACACACACCCTTATTTGCTTCAGTTATTTCAGATTGAGTTTCTGTCACTTGCAACTGAAAGCATCTGGACTGAAGGGTCCATGTGGGGACAGATGAACACAAACTCCCTTTGCTCCCCTCTCCTCCCCACACTACTTCCCCTGAGAGCTGGCAAATAGCTAGATATTGCCTGAAGCCCCAGGAAGAGATGGAGGTGTCTATGGTCCCTTACTTACAAGATTAGTGTTATTATCAAATTGGAATAAAAATAAGGTCACAGACGGAGTCAAGATGGACCAAACTGGAATTAAAATAAGGTCACAGACGGAGTCAAGATGGACCAAATCCATCTTCCTAAGGGTTGGGGTGGAGGGAGTAAACCCCTGTTTAGTGAGCATCTCTGTACGCCAGATGCCGTCCTGGCATCTTTATGTGTCTTCTCACTTAACCCTAACAGCAGCCCTGGAGGCTGAACACTTACCCTTCATCGGCACGTACAGGGACTGAGTACCGTGTCCGC